AACCTGCCCGGTCGACCGCTGCTCGGCCCGCGGGCAGCCGGGGCCCTCGACGCCCTGCCCAGGGAAAGCGGCGGCGACCGGCTTGAAGTCGCACTCGAAGCCTGGTGCCCGGGCAGCCCGCGCCTCGCATAATAACCCACAGGCCCTTCTGATAGGTCTGCGCAGCGGACGCGACATAGAACCTGAGGGCCGTTCTGAACACGCGGTCGCGATTCGATTAACAAGATGGATTCTCGCCGTGCGCCCCCGAATCCGCGCCCTTGGAACCACCCCCCTCCGCTGAGGAAAACAACTCGGAAGTTGCATGCGACTTAGAGGCCATAGCCAAACAACCCCATGCCCCAGAATACCGCGCGCGGAGATACGGAACGGCATTGCCGCCCGCGAGTGCATAGACCCCTTTTTCCGCCTTCTGTCCAGGAGGACGAGTAGGCCTTCACCATTCCGCCATCGGCCCCCCGCAAGGGGACGAAGACGCCCGCGTTCAGGGTTGCATGGAGCCTGATCGCACCCAACGCGCGCGAGTACGTGGACCAGCCTCCTCGCCCAACCATGGCTTCATAGAACATAGAAGCCCTCTGGTAGCGCGAAGGGGGTCCACCAGATGCCTTGCCCCATACTGACGACGAGCGCGGCCTTGCGCCAGTCGAAGAAGTCGGGGGCGGCATTCTCGACATCTGCAGCATGATCAGTCGAACCGCGAGATGTTCGATACCGCAATTACGGAGATCGCCTGGCATCGGCGCAGGCGAACACGCCGTCCTGAGTCTCGCGGCAAGCCACGACTTGGCTTTAGCGGCAGCCCCCTGTCTGCGACGTCTGGCACCATCGACCGCAAATTGTTGTCCAAGTAAGTTGCCCCGAGGCCAGATCTTCACGGGGACGCCTTCCCAAGAGCAACGGGTAGATGGACTCCTGATCGCACTCCACCTGCCTGCCCCTGAGCGAGGCCCCGAATTCGCCTGTGACGCTTCCCCAGCCACGGATGACGCCCTTCTGATGCTCCTCGCACGCCTCGAACGCATGCTCGCAACTGATCCCCCCCGTCCATTTCGCACTTTGTATCAGACTGCTCGTCGGCGAAAGTCGGGCGCGCCAAGAGGCCATCCTGCATCACCTGCAAGATGTCGAAAGGGTTAGAAGCCTGACCGTAAGAGCTGCTGGCATGGTCGGCAGACTCCTCGGACCTGGCTGTGGCCAGCCGCGCAGAGGCGCCGACCCACTTTGGCGGAATGTGGCTGCTGAGGATACCCTTCTGTTCCGCCAACCCCAGACATGCCAGCATGTGCTCCTCTGGGACAGTATCAATATGAATCGCAGTTATATCAAAAAGCATACATTGCACCGCGCTGCCGCGGTGGAACGGCTGTTTCTCCGTCCACTTATCCCCAGGTGGCAACCCATTGTCTCCGTCCCACTGCGACAACAACTGAGGAACAACATCAATCAAGTCTGGAGCGGACAATCGTGCGCATAAGGACGGGTTGAACGGAAGGATGTCCCCACGGTCTATCTTAGTGCCGAGCCGTTCACTGTCATCCTGTTGACGAGGCACCAGATTCTGGGCGGACTCGCTGTTGGTGGTGACACGGCGTCAGTGCTCCCATACAAAGAGCCCCCTTGGCAACACAGTTGCCCCGCATCGGGTCACCGGGTCCTGTTTTGATTCGAAGCAGAGCTGGCAGGCCTTGCATCTGCATTTTGCCATCATGGTCACAAATGCCCTATCTGGTTGGCCGGGGAGGTCTCCGAAGAAATGCCATGGGTCACCTTTGGGGTGAGCTCCCCGCTGACATCGCTGAACCACAGAGCAGGCGGCATCGCAAATCCAGGTCCTTCCAAAAAGGCATTATATTGTTGACCACGGCTGCGGCCCATGCGGCAAGGGCGTTCCACATCTTGCACGTGCCCTCGGTCTGATGCCCCACGACTGAACATCACCAGATCCCATCACTACCATGTACGTGCACTGAAGTTTCAACAGCATGGCCTGCGCGTCGTCAAGCCGCACGACCTGCTCCAGAACAGGTTTTTCCAGACTGTAGCAGGGCCGACCTTCCGCGTCGTACCGCAACACCCACCAGTCTTACTCTTGAGCGCTTGTCGAAGCATTCCATCTTTTCGAGCCTTGCTTCAGCATCGTAAAAGATGCAGATCGAGTCCGCAAACATTATGCCATACATGTTCGGGTACACAGCGCGTTTGTAGCGTTCCCCTGAAGACCAAGTGCTCACTGGGCGCTTCTGGGCATAGGCATAAATGTCCAGGCCGACATAGCGCGAGAGGATGCCTGCCAATTTCAGGAGGTCGGTAAACGGTGCGCAGGCATCTGCCAACGATAGCCTCTGGACGAGCTCAACCTCCTACACGTCCACGACTTGCACCAGTCTGGAGCTTAGGCCGTGGATTAGTTCAACGTAGTCGCCTCTGGGGGCGAAGTCCGAGAATCGGAAGCATCGTACCATCCCCCTTTCCAGGCTCAGTCGGGACCGGTACTCATCCCCGCTCCACGGTCCGAACACCCCAGATCTGCAGCTCACGCGAGGGCGAACATCCACCTAATCGGTCGGGTCGCCTCTTCAAATAGTGAAGACGAAAAATGGAACGTGTGACGACCTTCCTCCTCCATCATCATTAGCACTTGTCCTCCTCGTAATCATCAGCATTATCAGCAGCAGCATCATCATCATCATCATCATCATCATCATCATCATCATCATCATGCTCATGCTGATCATCATCATCATCATCATCATCAGCATCATCAGCAGCATCATCATCAGCATCACCACCACCATCATCATCATGAATAGCGTCCCCAGAATAGTCATCGTCATTACCATCCGAATAATGTCAGCAGCCTCATCATCAGCAACATCAGATGCATCATCATCAGCAGCAGCATCATCGTCATCATCATCATCATCATCATCAGCATCATCATCATCATCATCATCATCATCATCATCATCATCATCATCATCATCATCATCGTCATCATCATCATCATCAACAGCATCATCACCACAACCACCAACACCACCACCACCACCACCATCATCATCATCATCATCATCATCAGCATCATCATCATCATCATCATCATCATCATCATCATCATCAACATCAACAGCATCATCATCATCAGCAGCAGCATCATCAGCAGGGGCCTCGGGCACCCGTCCTGGGTCCCACACTGAATTGAGATCCAGCAGGATCAGTACCCAACCACCATCCTCATCATTATCATCATTATCAGCAGCAGCAGCACCAGCATCATCATCACCACCATCACCATGACCATCACCATCATCATCATCGTCATCGTCATCATCATCATCATCATCATCATCATCATCATTATCATCATCATTATCAGCATCATCATCATCGTCGTCGTCGTCATCATCATCATCATCATCATCAGCATCATCATCATCATCAGCAGCAGCATCATAACCATCCGAATCAACATTCGCATCATCATCAGCATCATCATCACCATCACCATCATCACCACCATCATCATCATCATCATCATCATCATCATCATCATGAATAGCGTCCCCAGAATAGTCGGCATCGTCATTACCATCGGAATAATGTCAGCAGCCTCATCATCAGCAACATCAGATGCATCAACATCAGCAGCAGCATCATCATCGTCATCATCATCATCATCATCGTCATCATCATCAGCAGCAGCATCATCACCACACCCACCAACACCACCACCACCACCACCACCATCATCATCATCATCATCATCATCATCATCAACAGCATCATCATCAGCAGCAGCATCATCAGCAGCATCATCACCGCCGACATTGACCTCATCATCATCAGCTGCATGAGCATCACTACCCTCACCATCATCATCACAACCATGGTCAGCATCATCAACGTCATACACATCATCATCAGCAGCATCATCGACATCCCCATCAGCAGCAGCATCGTCATGATCATCATCATCAGCAGCATCATGATACTCGCCACCATCAGCATCATCATCATCAATATCATCATCATCAGCAGCAGCAGCAGCGTCCGCGTCGTCAGCATAATCAGCATAATCAGCATCAGTATCGTCACCACCACCAACAACAAAATGATAATGAGAATCGCAACCATCAGCATTATTAGCATCATCATCAACAATATCATCATCGTCGTCGGCATCGTCGCCTCCACCATCGACGTCGACGTCACTGTCGCCGTGAGCATCATAATCATCATGACCATCAGCATCAACAGTATAATCACCATCACAACGATCATCGTCATCATCATGATCATCACCATCATCATCAACAGCATCATCGTCATCAGCATCGTCATCGTCATCTTTATCATCAGCATCATCAGCAGTAGTATCATCGTCGTCATCAGAGTCATCATCAGCAGCACAGTGTCATGGTCAGCAGCAGCATCATCAGCATCATCATCGTGGTTGACGTCGTCGTCGTCGGAGACATCGTCAGCGTCATCAGGATCAACACCATCGTTATTAGCATTGCCTTCACAGCGCTCCCACGCCTGGCGACACGAGGTCTAAGACGTGACGTTCTCCCGTACACCCATGGAAAAGTTGCCACTCAGAATGGTGGGCTGGCACGGCGGTGGGACTTGCCGCACGTAGCTGGATAATTCGCCGTTACTTTCAATGGCCGCGCTCATCGTGTTACCGCTGAGCTCTCATTGTGCTTGGGTTGTTGGGGCAGTAACATATGCGATCGGTGCGTCGTTGTCCTCGTCCTACGAGGTCCTCACCTCCTTCCCTCCTCCTCCTCCTCCTCCTTCTCCTCCTCCTCCTCCTCCTCCTCCTCCTCCTCCTCTTCCTCCTCCCAAGCATCATCCGTTTCATCATTATCATCCTCATGGTCTCAATCCTCTTCCTCCTCCTCATCCACATCCTCCTCCTCCACCTCCTCATCCTGTCTTCCGATTCATCATCACCCATCCCTTCCCTCGTTCCCCAATCCACTCGAGCGCGCCTGGCTCAGCCTCGCAACCTCCTTCGCGACCGCAGGGGACAGCTTGTCCTCGTAAGCGGACGCCACCTGCCAGTCGGGACGGAGGGAGGGACGGAGGCAGGGGCGGAGGGAGGGCGGGAGGGGCGGGGTGTCGGACCGAGGGAGGGATAATATAGAGCCCTTCTAGATGGGGTCGGAGTAGATGGGGTCGGAGGATCGCGCCGCATCGCCGATACATCGGCGATGCATCGGCGATGTATTGGCGATGCACCGGCGATGCATCGTCGACGTGGGCGGTGCATCCGCGACGCCGACGTAAAGCAAATCGGGCTCCACATCGAGCCGCATCGCCGATGCATCGGCGATGCGGAGCGACCCGTCGACCCCGTCTAATCCGACCCCATCTAGGAGACCTAGAGAAGAGCGCCTGATCGGCGAGGGGCTCACGCGGGGACGCAGCGCGGGGGCGACCATTCTTGGGTGGAGCGGCAGCGGGCGCGCCCGACGTGGGGGCGGAGAAGACGGGGGACGACGACGAGCAGCAGAATGATCACCCCAGGACCGGCCGCGGCCGCCGAGCTGGGCAGGCGCAAGGAAAAGGCGAAGGCCACCAGATGCAGTCAGGAATGGCTGCTTCTCTGGGGCGACGGACGGGGGCGAATTCCCCATCGGAGGAACAACGCATCATGTGCCCGAGAAGGCCGATGAGCCATGCCTTCGGCGAGGCTCCTGGGCGACTACGTGCACTGCCCGCCCCTGAGCCATTCGCCCTTGTAGTCGCCTCCGAGACTGGCGTGTCGCGGCGACGCCCCCGGCGACACACTACACCGCGCAACCTGGTAGCGCGTCGCTTCGCTCCGCGGAGCGGGAAGCTTGAAAAGCAGTTACACCCTGGGAAAAGATTGGAGCAAGCGGATGTCTAGGAACTGCTCACTCCGACACGGCCATGTCAAGGGGCAGACTGGGGAAGGCTTGAAGAACGAGGGGGAGGGTTGGAGGAGAGAAGGCTTACGATGAGCAGATATCGCGCTGCCCAGGATGGGCCAGAAGCAGCAGCCCGACCCAGGGATGGTGAAGAAAAGAGAAGAGATAAGATAAAAGCGCGGTCGACCCAGTTCATCCCTACCCTCACAAAAAGAACAGCGAAGTGCCGCCTGGATGAAGCAGTACATGGATGTGCGTCCGTAGCTTACTAAGTAAGCTTCGTGGAAACAAGTGAAGAGAGGAGGAAGAGGAGAAGTAGGAGCACCAGAGAAAACCCAGAATGCCTCAGCGATGCTGCAATACACTATCCCGTCCCAATTCCACTCCCCAGAAGGCCCTACAAGTTTCCTCTTCACTACACGAAGCGTCCCTTTCAAAGACCACCACCCCGTGGGCTTGCCACTCATGCAGAAGCCCTGCTCTGAAAAGGAAGTGCACTGCATGCTTCTAGCACATAAAAAAATCTGGAAAAGTATGTTGACCATCCAATACAAAATCCAACGAGATCTGGGATTTGAAAGGCCTACCCGCATCCGTGTAGACGTTGCATGAATGTGATTTTGCGGTTATTGACTGCAGATGAATCTCAAGCGAGAGACCCATGCAGAGACTTCGTACAAATGTTGAAGGCTGCGGCTCAAGAATTCAAAGATGTATCAAGCGAGAGGCACATTTGGAAAAGTATGCCGCCCTCCATCCCAGTAGCTGCTGCAATGTGGCAAGAAGACGTGCGCAGCACGAAGACGAGAGCTCCAATTGAAAAGGAGTCGTCCTGGATCCTTGCAACCGTTGCTTTTCAATGAACGAAATACGCACGGGGCGAATGCAAGATCTCTGTTTGAAAACCCCGGCCCTCCATCCTGCGACATCTGGCCAACTGCTAAAACGACGCGGCAGAGAGGCGAGAGCTCCGATTTGAGAACGCCCCCCCTCTGTCCGTGCAGCTGTGGGGATGGCGATGGCGATGGAGTCGCAAACGAAACGCCCCGTCCGCCCTACCGACACGTCTGGGGGTGCGACAGGGACGACGCATCTTCAGAAATGTTCAACATTAGCCAGCATGGAACCCGGACGGTGTGTTTCACAGTATATGGTGTGAGCCATCCATGTGATGCAATCTCTACGTGACTCTGCGTTGCGAACCTGGGCGGCACAATCTATTCGGCGCAATCGAACGTTGGGCACTCTGCGCGGTGCAACTGATGTGATGCAATCTGATCTATGTTGCCCGCTCTGTGCTGTACAAGCCGCGCTGTACAGTCTGGGCGGCCACGGAACGGCCACGGGGCAGCGGCGCGCGCGCGGGACCCCGCCGGACCGACGCGCGGGGCCCGGTCGACGGGCGGCGACGAGGCAACGAGCACGAAGCCGCCAGACCAGGCGCTCTCATGGACCTCGGGGCCATCCACCACCTGAGAGTCGACCAGCGTCCGACGCTCGACGAGAAAAGAGGCCGTCGTGGGTCAAAAGGAGGAGGAAGAGGAGGAGGTGAAGGAGGACGTGGAATGACGGTGGAGAGAGGAAAGGGAGGAGGAGAAACGAGGAAATGGACGAGGAAAAGGGGAGGAAAGGGAGGAGGAGGAGGAGGCACGGGAAGGAGGAGAAAGAGCAGGAGAAGGAGAAGGACGAGGGAGGGTCAAGAGAGCAGAAGCTAAGCGCGATCGCGCCTCCCCCCTCTCCCCTTCCCCCCCTTCTACAATTGCACGATATGAATACATCTCTCCTCTCTCCCCTGATGACGTCCGGAAGATATCCGGCCCCCCTCCGCGTACTGTTATTTACACACAAGCTTCCCTGGAGAAGGGTTTTCGCTTGGCTTTTTTAGTTGTTCCCGCTAAAGCGCTGGCCTCTTTTCCGTGCTTCCGCTCGTTCGGAACCGTGCTCCCGCTGCAGCGTTGGCCTCATCTCCGCGCTTCCGCTCGTCCCGAATCGTGCTTCCGCTGCAGCGCTGGCGTCATTATTTCCAATGCCATGCCACGGCATGGTTTTCGGTCCTTCCAAACAAGCCCCAAAATCTAGAAAATGGCCTCCCGACAACAATCAGCGGAAGTGCTTACACAGTCGGTGTCGATTCGTTGAATCTTCGGGCCGCAGAAGCCCCCACATTGGAGCGTGGTCACGCCATGCTATGTCATACTACGCGTTGACCTTCAACACCATGCTATACCACGTGATGCTACGCCATGCTGCGACTTTCGATTGTGCGAATAATGGAGATCTACGCCATGCTAAGGGATGGAAGGGAGGGGTAGGACGTCAGATATGACGCGAGCGCACCTAGCTTAATCCGAAGAAGCTTTTAAGAACCCCCCAAGGGTTATCTTAGCACCGGTATTTGATTCAATATTCCGCGGGCCATTTCCGCCGAGCAATATTTTTGGCACCGCGCGCAAAAGCGCAACAAACAAAAAAATCCGTGGCGGCCCCTATGGAGCCAAGAAAGCAATTCGCAAGGAATGTCAAGGATTCTGCTAAGGTCTCTCTGGTTCCCATGGGATGCTAAGGATCTGGGTGGAATCCCTAGAGATTTCGACGGAATGCTAAGAATTCCTAGGGAATGCTAGGGATTCCGAGGAAATGCTAAGAATCCTTAAGAATGCGAGGGATTCCTAGGGAATGCTGAGGAATGTTGGGGGTCCCAAGGGATCTGGGTCGAGATCCCTGTGGCATCCTAGGGAATGCTGGGAATCCCGAGGGAACGCGAGAAATCCCCAGGAAATGCCTAGGAAATGCCAAGGAATGCAAACGAAATGCAGCGGCATATCCAAGGGAATGGTGCGCATGTCCTAAGCAATGCTAAGAAAATGCGGAAACGGTTTTGAGAAGTATTGTGAGTCTGTGGAATCCTCGGACATGTTAGGGATCCCTAGCATGTCCTGGGAAATGCTAGGGCAAACTATCCTAGGAAATGCTAAGATTCCTAGGAATGCGAAGAATTCCATGCGAGGATTTGTCGATGAGATTTCTATTACAATCCCCTTTGGGAAATTGATTTTCTTCGGCCGTCGTGGGGGGTGGGTGGTCCATCCCACGGTATCGAACCCGCCCCGAACCGAGGCGTTATCTTAGCTGCCGGCAGGCCCCCCAAAAAAATCCCCGAGCCAGAGTACGAATTGGTCACAATGCAAAATGAAAAATGAACGATCTGAATATAATTGAGCCAGGGAAAACGATTGAACGGCTAAGCAAGCCAAGGAAAAGCTAAGACAACCAAAGGAAAGCTGAGGAAGCAAAGGAAAAGCTAAGACAGCCAAGGAATAACTAAGAAAACAAAAGAAAAGCTTTGAAAACCAATGAAACAACTGAGAACCCTTAGGACAACCTCAGAGGGGGAAGAACAAAACAAACAAACAAAAACGCAGAAACCACATGAAAGGCTAAGACAACCAATGACAATTTAGGAAAACCACAGGAAAGCTACTAAAAAAACACAGGATGAACCCCCTCCTGGTGCCGGGATAACGCTTCCAGGGTGCGGAAGGGCTATCGTTGCGCCGGATTGGGGGGGGTAAAAGCTTCTCCGGGTTACCCCCCACCCGTCCCTTCTCCCCTCACCCACCACCCATCCCCTCTCCCCTCCCCCCCTCTCCCCCCCACTCCCCCCCCTAACCCCTGCCCCTCCCCCTGCCCCCTCCCCCTCCTCCTCCTCCTCCTCCTCCTCCTCCTCCCTCCTCCTCCTCCTCCTCCTCCTCCTCTCCTCCTCCTCCTCCTCCTCCTCCTCCTCCTCCTCCTCCTCCTCCTCCTCCTGCAAAGGCGAAGCAGGTCTGCGCACAAACGCCGCACCTCCAGAGCAGCGACGCGACGAAGAAGAAGCCGACCATGACGACCCAGTAGCTCTCCGCCGCCGCGCCTGCACGACCCTGCACTCCCCGAGCGCCGGACAGCCAGTTCGCCCCAGCGCCGGCATAGCCGGCCGCCTCCGCTCGCAGCGCCGCTGCCCGGGCAGCGCGGTCCCCGCCCAGGGCGGTCCGCAGCTGCTGCGCCTTGGCGCGGTGCAGGGCGACGGTGGGCTAAGCGCCCCAGCGCTGCGCCAGGGCGCTGGCTACCGCCGCGGCGCGCTCTTCGTCCACCAGCTCCGCTTGGCCCCGCGCGAGCTGGCGGAG